TCTGCGACAGCTTTTTCCTGTTGCCAATGCTATTCTGTCTTCTCCCTGGTGTTAAAACTGACTCAGATCCCGTTACCTGGTTACCCTGACCCCGCAGTTTGCATCTCAGTCCCACTCAAATCCCTCAGTCTGTCAGTATGTTGTCTTGGGCTTGCCTGATCTCCTTGTGGTTGGTGTGGGTCTGCCTTGTAGCTTCTCTTGGCTTACTCATGGAGTCGGCTTTGATTGGGGTTGCAGGCTTCATCCCTAGTTGGGAGCATGTAGGAGACAGCAGATCAGTGATTCTTATTATTGTTTCTCTCTCACCCTCTCTCCCTCTCCAAAATGAATAAAAATATATTTAAAAACAAAAGACCAAAAAAAACCACACTACTGCCAGAGGAAGGGGGTGTGGTGGGGGGGAAGGGGGTCCTAATAAATTGTGACAAGATTTGACTTTGGTGAGCACACAGCGAGACATACAGATCTTGTAACATGGAAACCCATACCTGAAACCTATATGATCATATTGACCAGTGTCACCCCAATAAATTTAATTTAAAAAACAAACCACATCACAATACTCGTCTTCTTGTGCATGCATATGAGGATCTTTTTGTGTCACCTGCCTGGGTCAAAGGATGTTTATGTTTTTGTTTTTGTCTTCTTCCCTTATTTTTTTTTTATTAAATTATTATCTGTGTACATATCTTAACATTGTGTCCTCCCCCCCCCATACATACCCTCTCTCCCCACAGTTTTGTGTCCATTGGTTGTACTTATATGCATGTATACAAGTCCTTTGGTTGATCTCTTATCTCCCCCAGACCTCCCTCCTCTCCCCACTGTAATTTGACAGTCTGCTTGTTGCTTTACTGTCTCTATATCTTTTGGTTCATCAATTTATAATGTTCTTTATTATCCGTAAATGAGTGAGGTCATGTGGTGTTTCTTTTTTATTGACTGGCTTATTTCACTCAGCATGATGTTCTCCAATTCCATCCAGGTTGCTGCAAATGATGAGAATTCCTTTTTTATGGCAGCATAGTATTCCATTGTGTAAATGTACCATAGTTTTTTGATCCAATCATCTGTTGATGGGCACCAAGGCTGTTTCCAAATCCTAGCTATTGTAGATTGTGCTGCTATGAACATAGGGGTGCATATATCCTTTCAGATTGGTGTTTCTAGATTCTTGGGATATATTCCTGGGAATGGGATTACTGGGTCAAATGGGAGTTCCATTTTCAGTTTTTTGAGGAAACTCCACACTGTTCTCCACAGTGATTGCACCAGTCTGCATTCCCACCAGCAGTGCATGCACAAGGGTTCCTTTTTCTCTGCAACCTCGCCAACACTTGTCATTTGTTGATTTGTTGATGTTGGCCATTCTGACAGGTGTGAGATGGTACCGCATTGTTGTTTTGATTTGCATCTCTAGGATAATTAGTGACTTTGAGCATGTTTTCATGTGCCTCTTGGCCTTCCTTCTATCTTTTTTGAAAATATTCTATTTAGGTCCATTGCCCATTTTTTAATGAGGTCATTTATCTTTTATTAAGTTGTATCAGCTGTCTGTAGATGTTGGAGATTAAACCTTTATCAGTGGTAACATTTGCAAATATGTTCTCTCATACAGTGGGCTTTCTTGTTGTTTTGTTGATGGTTTCTTTTGCTGTAAAAAAGCTTTTTATTTTGATGTAGTCCCATTTGTTTATTTTCTCTTTAGCTTCCATTGCCCTAGGGGCAGTATCAGTGAAGTAGTTCTTTTGGAATATGTCTGAGATTTTGCTGCCTGTGGATTCCTCTAGTATTTTTTGGTTTCCTGTGTAATGTTTAAGTCCTGTATCCATTTGAGTTTATTTTTGTGTATGTTGTAAGTTGGTGATCTAGTTTCATTCTTTTGCATGTATCTGTCCAATTTTCCCAACACCATTTATTGAAGAGACTGTCTTGACTCCATTGTATATCCGTGCCTCCTTTGTCAAATATTAATTGAGCATAGTGATTTGGGTTGATATCTGGGTTCTCGATACTCATATTGTCAAATTTGTCTTCCATTCTTTTTAGCCATCTTATGTTCATTACTCTGAATTCTTGCTCTGGTAGGTTGCTTGCCGCTAACTCATTTACTTCCTTTTCTGCTTTTCTTTCATATGCGGGCTGTTATTTTGTCTCCCCTTGATCTCTCTTTTCAGGATGTCTGGTTATGTAGTTCTCTCTCTTCTACTTTGATTTAAAGATACAAAATACAACACAACCAGGTACAACACACAAGGCACTGAACAGAAATGTATTTGCGATATTAATAACCTCCAATAAAGGTGACTAGAACCCAGCTAACAGAAACATACAATCAAACAAAAAGAATAAGCAAACCAATCTAACAAAAAAGCATAAAACTTCAGCATTCAACTACAAAGGAATAGAGAGAGAGAGAGAGAGAGAGAGAGAGAGAGAGAGAGAGGGAGAGAGAGAGACTTTTTTGTTTGTTTGTTTTTTAGGACAGCGACAAGGGAGGTGTGAATGGGCTTGGAGCAGGGGTTTGGAATTTAGATATACACAAGTAGGGTGAAATTTTAGGAGGGAGTAAACAGAAAGAATAGGGAAAATCTAGAGCAGGAAAGGGTTAAGATAAACAAGACACCAAAGGGAAAAGGTTAGGAAGAGAGTGATGGCATAAAGGTAGTGTAGAGATAGAATAAAGCATTGGAGAAGGAAAGATAAATATAGACTGTAGGACACTAATCCCAAAGTAAAAAAAGGAAAAAAAATAGTTTCTTGAGTAAACATTGCAAATAATGAAAAAAGAAAAAATAGAAAACAAAAATTAAACAATTAAAAAATAAAAATTAAAAATTAAAATTTGCAGTAATGAAGGTCATTCACTTCCTCTATCGTTCTGTTTGGCACGCCTGTTTCCCAGTCCGGGCAGTATTGCAGTTCCCTGCATTTCACTGCTCCTCAGTATTGTAGTCCGGTCCTGATTTTTAAGCAGGTCTTGCTTTGATTTCTTTTATTACGCTAGGGTCAATTTGTGGTTTAGCCTCTGGGTGGCAGTGTTTCTGGGTTGACTTCCAGGGCTCTAAAGCCTTCTACCTGTAAACACCGCACCTGTCCTCCAGTTTCCGCTCTTGGGCTTCTGTCTTTGCGGGGAGCACTCACCCTCGCCCTGTGAAGTCTGACCTTTTCGCCGTGCAGTGAGTCCAAGTGTTCGTGCCGCCTGGGATCCAAGGGTGCTCTTGTGAGTCCAAGTGTTCGCGCCGCCTGGGATCAGTGTTCTGGGGGTCACAGCTGCTTGGTGGTCGCTGTGGCTGTGGATATTCAGGCCTCTGACACGATCCAATTTCCCTTCAAGATGGCGAGATTTCCCCTGCCCAAGCCCGTAGGTAGCTCCTGGAGGGGACCCAGCCCCATCTTGGGTGCTTCCCTGTCAGGGGCATCCTGATCAGCGGCCCCCAGTTTCTTCTGGTGTTCGGCTGCCTCTTGGCTAATAAACACTCACAGCACGACCCTCAGCTGCTCTCTCTTTCTGCTTCGGGACAAGGCTCAGATTCTGCCTATCCTTCCGCCATTTTTCAAGGGTAATTGGATGTTTATGTTTTAACTTATTTGGGCTATTGGCCACTTTTTCTCCTAGGTGTTTAGAGGTCTCATTTTACAGCGTACATTCTCACTAGGGAGAGAAGGAAAGAACTCTCACCTGCCCCTGCCTGCTCAGGAAAGCCAGCCCCTGCTCTGCATTAGCAGCCAGCTTGCCGTGTCTCAGTAACTCCTGAAACAGTCACCCCCAAAGGGCCAGCACTGGGCAGCTTCTCCCAACTTAGGACCAATCAGAAAAAAAGCAAAACGCCGCCAAGAGAGTAGATCTTACAAATTTCTTATCCCAAGGGGAGAAACAATTTGTAACTACGTGTGGCAGTGGATATTATCTAGAATGATTATGGAATCATCATGTTGTATATCTGAAGCTAACGTTAAATGTTGATCATACCTTAACACCCCTCTTCCCCAAAACAAAGAAGAAGCAACACATGCTTCTCTGACCGATCACATAGGATGCCTGCTTCTAGTTAGCCCAGCACAGCCTCTCCATGCCAGCAGCCTCCGGCCCGGGCTCAGCTGAAGCCTCCTCTTTTCCACTCTAAAGCCCTCCCGCTTCGGCCTGCTTCTGAGTCTCTGCCAAAACATAAATCGCAACTTCTGGGTAAACTGCCTTGGCTTTTCACGATTTTTGTTTATTTCTATGTGATTCCCATGGTTATTTCATACCTCTTCTCCCCACTCGCTGTGTGTGAGGCTCCTGCTTCCCCACATCTATACCCATCACAGCCGTATCCTCTGTCTTTTCAGCGTATGCCGGTCCAGTGGGTGAAGTGGGAATTCACTGTTGTTTCTTCGTTTGCCTGGTTATTATTAGTGAGATGGAGTCACTGTATGACAAGCTCTTTGCAGAGGTGATTAAGAGGTTTATAGAAAGGAGTTACGATCTCATCTGTGAGCTTCTTGTGTATAGTAAAAGGGAGAAGGGAAATTTCTGGGGGCATTTTATATACGTCTGTGAAGGAAAAAAGGGAGTTATGACGACACTACCTTTAAGATATAAGAGGATACAAATATCAGACAGTTTAGCTTTGTTTATGAAGAGGGGAAGGAGTGAGAACCATCATCCTAGATTTTTTTTTTTTTTTTAGCAGAAAAAGTCTTTTTTTCCCTAAAATAAATTTTAAGCATAAACAAATTTTCTAAAATAAATTTTCACCATAAACAAGGTGAAAACTGGAGTGAGTGCCTCAGGCAAAACGAAGTTAGTAGTATGGCTCTACCTACACGTCCTACCACCAGGTCACCTGACACTCGGGCGGAACCTGGGCCTGGACACTAACCTTCCTGAGGAGCCTGCTGCTATGAGAATGAAAGGAACTCCGTTTTCGTCACTCCCCACCTCAGTGTGAAAGGGGAACTGGGTAAATCCTATAGACGTGGGGCTGACACGTGCTGCTTCTTTGGCTCTGTGGCAGGCAGGAATTTGTGGATGCGTACGTGAACTACATCTTCCAGCTCTCCGTTCACGAATGGTACACAGCGTTTTCCAGTGGCTTCCTCAAGGTGTGTGGTGGCAAAGTGCTTGAGCTCTTCCAGCCTTCGGAACTAAGAGCCATGATGGTGGGGAACAGCAACTACAACTGGGAGGAGCTGGAGGAGGTAAGCATTTTCCTCTCCAAGTGGCCTGGGGACGTGTGCCCAGAGCTCCGTCTTCTCCCAGGGGTAGGGTTTGGAGGCCTCCTGTGTCTTAGAGGTTAGTTCTTGCTCCTAAATGCATGTGGTGTATACAGTGCCCACCACAACCTTCTCTTCTCTAAGATACAGTTTTTCCTTCTTGTCTTTTGGGGCAGACTGCCATCTACAAGGGAGATTACTCAGCCACACATCCCACTGTGAAACTATTTTGGGAAACATTTCATGAGTTTCCTCTGGAAAAGAAGAAGAAGTTTCTCTGTAAGTATCAGGATGCTCAGTATGGTACTCGTCAGGTATTAGTTTTGGGTGTGGTGTAGGACATACTCCACAAGTAAGATTCTCTTTCAGGTGGCAAACAGTTAATAAATGTTTATACTTTTGTCTTGATGTCCCAGGCACAATATATTAATTCCTAGTTGTTGCTCTGAAAACATTTACTTGTCTTATATTAGTGATTCCTGTAAGTATCATGTTGATGAAATCGAATCGTTTGGATTAATTTGTCGTATCTGTCCAGCCTTTTGAAAATATTACAAAGCGTCTATTGTCTTTGTAACTCGGGAGGTGTGGTGTATATTAGCTTTTCAATCGTGGTATAATTCACATACCATACAATTCACCCATGTAAAGCATACAACTCAATGGTTCTTTAGTATGTTCACTGGGTTGTGAAATGATCCATTTTAGAACATGTTCATCACTGCAGGGAGGAACCCACGCTCAGTAGCAATCGTCCCCCATTTCCTCCTCTCCCCCCACCTCAGCCATCTGTTTCCTGTCCGTGGAGGTGCCTATTCTGGACATCTCATGTAAAGGGAATGATACAGCATATGGTCCTCTCTGACTGCCTGGCTGACCCTGGAGAAGGGGAATACATTTGAAAAGGAACATGAGCTCTGGTTTACGTGAACAAACGCAGCCTTAAAAAAAATAGTTGAAATCTTCGTGTCCACGTATAATCAAGGACAGAAATTAGCCAGTGAATAGCATAGAATTCTTACTCATAGAAAACCAAAAAAGAGGATTTGAAAGGTCCTTTCTTTTACTTTATATGCATGAGCATTTGTTAATATTAAAGATGTACTCACTGGCACATAAAAGCAGTGGTACTTCTTCCAGGAGCCACAGGGTGTCACGCTTTCCTCTCTGTTCCCTGGAGGACAGCCGGGAGCGGCTCCCCGTTGGCAGAGCTAGTCATGCCAGTTCCCTTTCTCCGCAGTGTTCCTGACGGGCAGCGATCGGATCCCCATCTATGGCATGGCGAGCCTGCAGATTGTCATCCAGTCCACGGCCAGCGGGGAGGAGTACTTGCCTGTGGCCCACACTTGCTATAACCTCCTCGATCTCCCCAAATACAGCAGCAAAGAGACCCTGAGGGCGCGGCTGACCCAGGCCTTGGACAACTACGAGGGGTTCAGTTTGGCCTGAGCCCCGGCTTGCCCCAGACCCCCCTCCTTCCTCAGTGTGCACATGGAGGCCTATACAGAAAATCGTGGGGAGTGAGCTCTATTTTTTTATTGCATACGTGTGTGGGGACTTTTGAATCCTGAACCTGGTTGATGTGTTTCTGGGGTTATATGCAATCAGAAACCTTCTTGAGAAATCAGGGGTCGGGGAATGGGTGAAAAATTGGCTGTTGTATAAGAGGGTGTTTCTGTTTTTAAAACCAAATGACTGAGTGTCCCTTGCACTCGTGAATATGTTGCACTCTGCTGGATGCAATGGCAGCGGTTCTTAACTTCTCATTTCCCAAATGTCTCTCTCAGCTCTGGTCTTTCCTTACAGTGCTTCCTCTTCCTTCTCTTAACGTCTCATTCCTTCGCACGAGTGATTTTAACTGATCTGTCCTTTCATACTGGCCCACACAGACTGTCTCCTCTCCCTGGCTTGTCGCAGCCCTATTCCAAGGACTAGGAGGAAAGGGCTACTTCAGGAACTCCCACTTCCAACTCACTGAGTGCGGGTCCATTCCTTGGCTGAACTCTTGAGAATTCAAGGGAGCCTTTATGAACACATTTTGCTTAAAAAAAAAAAAAAAAGTTTTTGAGGGATTAGCAATCTCCTCATGGCTCTCCTGGCCTGGGCCTCCTTAAAAATGTGCAGAGTAGCTTAGAATGGCAGCTGAGCTTAATTTATTTTGTTGCTCAGCCGAATTCCTTCTGACAGAAAGGTGAGGTGATTAAGTTTTTTTTTTTTTTTAGAGTATCTTCTCTAAGAAAAGTAAAAATAATGAATTTCTTGTTCTGTCCTCTACCACTGTCTATTTCCTCCCTCCTGTCTTTTTCCTTTTCCTACCCTTCCCTTACTACTTTTTCTTTCACTTCATCTCATTCTGAATGAGATGAAGTGAAAGAAAACTTAATGCTCCCTTCCTCTCCTCTCCTAATGGATGCCTGTGGTCTATTTTTTTATTCCTATTTAAATTGCAAAATTTCTATTCAGATTTTTTTTCCCTCTTCCCTAATTGCTAAGACTTAAGGATGTTCTTTATGCTGGAACTTTTGTTTATTGCATTCGAAATGTTTGTTTACAGTGGGATTGGGGGGACAATTGTGTTGAAAGAAGATATATGAATCTCAAACATAATGACGTGTTCAACCTTCTTCCATGTGGGATAGGAAGATTCTACATGGTCAAGGAATCCACGTGAACCTGATTTTAAATGCCTAGTCGCTAGAGAAAGACTTATTTATATAAAATGAAGTATTTATGAATCTTGCTATAGCATCAAATCTCAATGAAGGGTTGTAGATTTTTGATTTTGTTTTTCTGTTTTTAAAATGTATTCCAATTGCTAAATTGGTAGTTTTTTCAGTCTTTATAATACAAGGTTAAAAAGAAGATACACAGTTATATGAAATGTTTATTTTCTATGTGTGTGCATATAGTTCAATATTATGCAATAAATTTGGTGTTTTAACTTAAAACTGTTTCTTATTGTACTTGCAGAATGGGTAGCTTGCTTTTGGTAGAAACACTAAGTCATCTACCCAAATGATCTAATCGCAGTGCCAGAGAAATGGAGGAAAAAGCAGCGCTGTGGCCCGGGTGGTGGGCAGAGGACACTGAGGGCGAATAGCATTTCTGCGGGCTGGGAGGGATGAGAGCTCTCCCCAGGCAGGGGAAGGCCTGCACAAAGGCTTGCGCATGGGGCTGTGTCTAGGGAAGCACAGGAATAACGTGGAGACAGCATCAGAGGAAACAGGAAAACAATGGGAAGGAAGACTGGGGAGAAAGAAGGTATGTTCGGGGTCAAGGAACAGGGCTAAACATTGCAGCGTTAGTTGAGAGTAAAGTAGGATTTTTTAAACTGTTCATAACCCTGGGGTGAGGCTGGAGGCAGTGACCTGACTTGAGCTTGATTTTAAGAAGAAAGATGTGGCAAGAGAGACAGTTAGGAAATGGAGTGGGAAGAGCAGGACAGAAAGAGCACCTGAGAGCAGGGAAGGTGGCAACAATGCAAACAAAAGAAATGGGGATGTTCGGTAGATTTAGATTTAAAAACCAATTAAACTGTATCATTTTGCCAGATTTAAGAGATGGTTTAAAGAAGTGGTCAAAAGAATAGTAGGTTCTCATTATTAAGTTCCATTCAACAAACATGTAATAGTATAAGTAAATGCTGAACAGTGCCTGCTCACAGAGATGCCCAATAAATAATCCAGAACATCTGTGGCGTGAGTGATGTTCTGTGCTGCTTCCAAAACACTGATTTTCCTGGGGCATTTTCTCTTTTCCCTTCATCATCTACTGGTTTAGAAGACTCATCATCATATCTGGATTCACTTGCCCACCTTCCTTCCCTCTGCAAATGTTTTGGCGTTTCTTCACTGTTTCAGTCATCTACTAATTTAATGAAACTGCTTGGCAACTGAACGTGTAACCTAGGCAGTTCAGTAAATTCTGATCACTGCATCTCCTCCCCATGAAAGCCTTCTGATGACATACTGCTTCTCTATGAATCCTGGAGATAAGGGGTTGGAAAACTATAGCCCATAAGCTATAGTTTAACATTATTTAAAGGGTTGACCATTTTTTTTTAAAAGGAAGGGGTAGGGTTAAGGGCAGGGGTGGGCTAAAGGAGGTTATGGGAGGGGGGCATATGTAATACTTACAACAATAAGGATTATTAATTAAAATACATAAATAAAAAGGATGGATGTGTGACAAAACCAACAGGCAGCACAGCCGCTGTGGACACCGCAGATCTCACCAGCTTCCACCCCACAGCTGTTAGTGTTCACGGCTGAGTGTCCCTTCCTACCCAGCCCCCTCTGGCTCTTGCTGGATATCAGGAACTGCGCCGCCAGCCAGTCCAGACTTCTGCAGCTATGCATGTGTTAGAAGATATCAGCCTAGATTCCCACGCTGGCCCCCACTGCTAGGCATGCCCGTGGGGCTGTCCCTCAGCTAGGTATCGCATGCCACCAACCTCACACCTGCTACTGGCCTCCATCGCCATGCACACCCCCCCGAGGAGACTGTAGCAATGGGAAGGAGCCCTGTACCTGCTTTTGGATCAGGACCAGGCCCTGTCTTCTGTCACTGGCCTGTAGCTTTGTGCTTACCCACAGCTAGTCCTTCCCGCTCACCCCTGGCCTGATCCCCATTACCAGCCCCAACTGCCAAGTGCCTGTAGCCACACCCGGCAGCCATGGTGGTACACACCAACAGCCGGAGCCCCTGCAGCTGCCAGGGGCCCACAGTTGGCCTCAGCCCTGCACTGCTGTCCACTACTGCATGTGTCTCTGCTACTGGAGGTTGCTACTTCATAGGCACCTGTAGCTGGCCCCACAGCTAAGTGTGTGCACATCACTGGCTCTGGTCAGCCACCCCTTCTCCATTCTAGTCCCTAGCTGCTGGGCCTGGAAATGCTGTTAAGGACCCCAACAGCTAGTGCAGCCTCCAAGGACTCCTCACAGTGCTTCTCAAGGATCACACAGTTGATGTTGTACCCTCCAGCGACCTGACTCAGTGATGACATCCCTCCCACCCCGGTCCTGGCCCCATTACTACCGTACGTTTCTTCACTTGGTGCCATTCACCACTAGGTCCGGGGTCACAGGGAGCAGTGACAGTCTTCACTGACAACGTCAGTTCATAGAGCTTAGGCAGGTGACTCCTTCAAATGCACAGACACTTAGCACAGTGTACAGGAATCATGGAGAATCAGAGAAACATTCCCACCCACGGAATAAAGGGAATCTCCAGGACTTGGCTCCAACGAAATGGAGATCCAGGAATTTTCTGACAATAATTCAAAATAATTGTTCTAAAGATAATCAGAGAACTAGTAGAGAATACAATTAATTTAATAGTACCTGGAAAATAATATAAGAACAAAAGGAGAAGTACAACAACAACAAAAAATAAAACACAAAAGAGATGCAAACTTTGGAGCCAAAGAATACAATGTCTGACCCGGCCTGTGTGTCTAAATGGTTGAGCATTGACCCATGAACCAGGAGGTCATGGTTCAATTCCTGGTCAGAGCTCATGCTCCAGTTGCAGGCTTGATTCCAGGTGGGGGCCTGTGGAAGGCAGACAATAATTCTCATCCTTGATGTTTCTCTCTCTCTCCCCCTTCCTCTCTGAAATCAATAGAAGTATACCTTAAAATAAAAATAAAATTGAAAACCTCTAGTTTGTGTTAAAAAGAATACAATGATGGATGGAAAAATTCAATGGAGAGCTTCACCACAAGACTTGAACAAGCAAAATAATCAGCAAACTTTAAGATAGATTACTTAAAATTATCCACTTGGAGTGAAAAAAATGAAAAGGAATAAAAAAAGACCAACAGGACTTATGGGACACCATTAAGAAAAACACCGAGGAGATCATTGGAGTCACAGAAGCAAGGAGAAAGGGCTAGAAAGCTTATCTAAATAAATAATGGCTGAGAACATCTCAAACCTGGGAGAGATTTGAGTATAAAAGGCACCGAGCCGAGGAGGAGCTGGTCATCAGGAGGAAGAGAGTAGGCCCCTGTGTCTTCAGAAAAGAGGAAAATTCTCCCGGGGATTAGATGGAGGAGATCTCAGAGGGAAGTGACATAGAAGTGACCGGGCTTTTGGTAAAGGGGTTAGTTAACGGCACGAGAGCAGAGCCTTGTGAAAGATGTGGCAACTGTTGGTTTTGGACCACAAGCCTCTGCTTTGGGATGCTATCCCAGGCTGGCTCAAACGTAGGTAGGACCTGAGTCAGGTGTGGGCTGGTGTTTCCATCAGGGCTGCCATGTGCCCAGAATATGCAACTGAAGAGCAGCTAGAGGAGGGGGCCACCCCGTTGTGGGCGGACTCTTTGGATCTGCATTAATAACAGCTTGTCCCCCCGGTTTGCTAATCCTCCCATAAGTAATGGAGCATGTCCTCCTGAATCTGTGGCTGGTGCAGAGAAAATTAGTCCAGACATCACCTTTTATTTTT